CATCATCATCTAGGTAGGACTTTAACTGATAAGAGTAGTTGTAATCATCCCAAGGGGTACTTAAGGAATGAGAAAGGATGAAGGCCAGTGGCAGAACTAACATCTGAAGGACAGGCTAGAGAGGAGATGGCAGAGAAATACGAGAGAAACCAAGAGAGTACTGCAACAAGAAGCCAGGGAAGAATTTCAAGAATATTGTTGACTTTCTTGGGTGCTATAAGATGTGAACTGAAAAAAAATTAAATTTTGCAATTAGGAGGTCACTGCTGACCTTTGGCAGAACAGTTTCAATGAAGTGTAGACATGGACTCCAGGTCTCAGTGGATTAAAGGTTAAACTGGAAATTAATGTATGAAAACAGTTAATGTGGACTACTAACTCATCATATATAAAGGAAAAGAGAGAAGTGACAGCTGGAGAAAGGAATATTCAGGAAGGGACTATTGTCTTACAAATATCAGAGAAAACTTGAGTGTATTTATAGGCTGTGGGGAAGAAGCCAGTAGGTAGAGAATGATTAAAAATATAGAAGAAAGATAACCACTGAAATAAGATCCTAGGTAAGGTTGATGGAGGTTGATCTGAGAGCATAGGAGTGGGCTTGAGCAGGATTTCTCTGTTTTAGGAGGAAAAAAGGTAAAGGTGGTCACAAAATATAGATGTTTTTTGGGTATGTATGCAGAAAGTTTCATATTTACAAGCTTGATCTTATAAAATACAAGGTCAAGCTACATGCTACTAAAAAATTATTATTAGGAATTAACCACCTATCATTTGAGTGCTTACTATGTGATGTGAAACATTGAGTTTAAAAAACTATCTCATTTAATTTTATCCTGTGACTCAATGAGAAAAGTATGATCGCTAGTTCTCAATCAAAGAAAGTGTAGCTTAATGAGTTTAATTAACCTAAGGTCACAGAAACATTAAGAATCATATCAGAACTAGTCATTTGAACCTAGATGGTTCAAACTCCAGGCACCTATGCCCTTAATTACAGTTGTGGTGAGTTAAGGGTTTTGAAGAGAATGGTGAACCTTTGGCAGAATGTAACAGATTATCATGGACATGTACAAAATTGTCATTTGGCACTGGGTATAACCATATCTGGAGACCATAAATCTGTGGTGGTACATGTCTGCACAACTGGGCTGGTTATCTCTAGCAGCAGCTGGCAGCCCAAGAGAATGATCATGTAAGGGAGAATTAGGGTGGGGAATGTTTTAGTTCCAGGCTGGATGGATGAAAATATTAAGACATAGCCTAGCAAAAATTCCTGAGTTCTAAAGATAAAAAGAAACCCCTAAGAGATTTCTAACAGAAAATCCAAAAAAATGAAATAAGAACTATAGACTAGCTTTAGACTTTTGTGAAACTGGAAGGTAGAAAACAGTAGCATAACATCTACAGACTAGTGAGTAGAAAAACAATGCAACCAAGAGCTCTATATCTACTTCTATACATGTCAACAAAAATGAAAGATATTTGAAAATAAGAACTACAGTATATCACCCACCTGAGAAAAATATTTGAAAGAAGAGAAAATAACAAAGGGATGAGAAAAAAAAAACCTCAAGATAGAGAAAATACAGAAAGCCGGTAAGCAAGGAAACATGGACACAATTAAATCTAAAAGAATAAAGAGAGGGCCGGCCGAGTGGCGCGATGGTTAAGAACTCGCTTGGGATGCCAGAGGGCCCCGGTTCGGATCCCACATATGAGGGCCAGTGACACTGCCCTCCGCAGCTAAGCTGCTGAACAACAGCTCAACCTGGAGCTGGGCTGCCATGAGTCGCCGGCGACGGCGTGGGCTGCAGTCCCTGTGGCAGTGGATTGCCATGGGCTACCGTGAGCGGCCAGCAGCCGCAGTGAGCGGCCGTCCAGAAGCCGTCGACTGATCTGCCTCGCCAGAGAAGAGCGCAATGATGGTGCCAACTTGGGCCAGTGAACAACATCCTCCACAACTAGACTGAAGAACAAAAAAGGACAGCAACTTGTCTGTTCCCCTTCCCCCAACTCCCCAGCACTGTTCCCATCCCCCCAATTCACAATAAAAATCTTAAAAAAAAAAAAGAATAAAGAGAGACTCAGGGAATGTGTAATGTAAATGCCAAATAAGGTTTCTTGTAACAGAAAATACACAGTCTAAGATAATTTTAATAAGATTGCAGAGTAAAACATATTAAACTATTTCGCAAAGTCCAGGATTAATGGGAAAGGAAGGGAAGGAACTGAAACAATTTTAAAAGTCTTATTGATGTATACAAGCAATAGAGAAATAGAGCATTTTTGTGGGAGAGAGAACCTTTCAAGTTTCCATCTTACGTAACTAAGCACTAAACCCGATAAAGAAGAACATTTTAAAATAATAAATAACACATAGTTATAAGGTAGATAACAGTTATACATCTAAATACACCAAACAACATAGCAACTAAAATGTAAAACAAAAATTATTGAAAATGCAGGGGAACTTAAAATATGATATAATGGAAGAAAGAGATTAATATATTTGTCTCAAGATGATGAGGTGGTATAAAATATAATGTAACAGGAATTGAATCAATAAACTTGAATACAAATACAGACTCATCCCTCAGAGAATAAACTTTTTTTTGTATGCTATGGAATATTAGCAAAATTCAAAAATGTAGTTGGAAAACCTTAACAAATTAACCTTAACATAGTTTGAGGAAATAAAATAGACTTTGCAGATCACATTCTTTGGTCACATACCAATAAAGTTAAAAATATATAATGATAAATAGCTAAACCTTTAGGAACTTTGAGAAACATTCTTTGACATGACTAGATCAAAGAAGAGATAAAAAATAAAATATAAACTAGAGAATAATAAAAACATACTCTACATTCTGAAACAATGGGTAACCTATACTCAGAGAAAAGAATATATAGCCTTGAACCCTTAATTAAAGGATAAATATGAAAATCAAAAGAACTAAGTAATCATCTTGAATTTAAACAAGAGAAAAATTAACTAAAAGAAACTAGTGAGAGAAACGTAAATAAAAATCCAAGTCATGGAACCAGAACATCAAAAATGGTGCATACAAATTTCTAGTTTGATCTCTGTGCAAGCTCAAATACCAGATGTGTTAGAGATCGATATGTATGGAAATGGAGGTAGCATATACGTTCTCTGAATGTGATTTTGGCCCTGATCATTTATCCCCACTCCCCGTTATTCATCTACCTCAGATTCCTATGTGGAACTGAGTGGTTGAGTGGGTGACCAGCTATGCAGTGTTCTGTTACAACATAATCAAAAGACCCGGGGGGATTTTGTAGTCATGCCCATTGCTACTCCTACTCTAATTTCAACTCCCCTGGAGGGGATCTGTGGATCTTTGGAATGCTAAATCACTAATAAAAAACTCACTTAGAAGAGGCAAGACCCCAAAACATAACTAGATTATATTTTATGTATTAATGGTAATTATAGAAGAACAGATACATGTAAATATATTGTATTTCATTTTAAGATTTTATTCTCCATCTTTATTCATCATACCACTCTAAAAAAGTTATTGTCAACAACAGTTCTGCATTTTTAAGGCTTTACTAAAATATGAGTAGACGTGTTGCCATCTTAAAAGTAGAAATTTCATCATTTAATGTTATAAATGTAGGTAATCTTTATATTGCTATTGGTAGTTACTATGTATTTTGGAATTTCCTTTCCTTTGTCTCTTAGACACTGTCACTGGATTAACAGCTGCTGTTTATTTCTGACTCAGTTTGAATTGATGGCAGGAGTATATTTGAAATTGCTTGCTTTGTGGAGAGGATGGGGAGGAAGGGAAGAAGAGGTCTGGGAGAGTGTAATTTTAATTTTTTGAAAATTTATAAAACCAGACTGTGGTAATAGACAATGCCTTCCTTTAGGCTTTTGTTATTAATTAGAAGGTGAGGAGTGTGTGTGTGCGTGCGTGTGTGCACGTGTGTGTGCACGCGCGCATGCACGTGTGCTTACTCTTTACAAAAAAAGTAAAGTTTAGCATCTTGTCTGATACAACGTGGGAAGGGGTAAGAGGAGGAGACCTGTAACACTAGAAAGCATTTCCTATAATAGTTTGTAATGTCTAGTATATTTACATTGGTTTAGAGGCCTTTTTTTTCTAATAGACCCAGAAAAACTACTAGATATTATAATAATAATAATAATAATAACAACAACAACAACACCTGACAATAAGAATGAAATTTGTTTTAAATTCTTATTCTAGTTGGGTTTTTTTAGTTATGTTTAGAGGGAAGACATACAAAATAACCTTTATAAATTCTATGAATTGTGTATAGATCATGCCCAAAGATAAAACTGCATCTCTTCATGACAGCTTCCTTTTTTATGTAATTTTACTTATTTTTCAAATTTATAATAATAGAGCTAAGCTTTTTCCTGATGATTAAACTGATTTTCATCTTTCAGAGAACAGCTGGAGAAATCATTTCATTTTACTGTTCGTTTTTCTTTTTGATAATATTAGCCTCAGAAAAAAGCAGGAAAACGTATTATAGTATTATATTTTTAGAGCAAAGAAAGCAGTGGCATGGGTTTCACCATCAATATAATTCTGTTTTTGGGTATCTGAAAGCTTTTGCATTTGTCCATTTATTTCTGAAACTACATTACTCTACCTGTGTACCTAGCTTCTCATTTCAAATCAGTGTGAAACGTGTGTGATAGATATTTGGTCTCTGGCCTTACTTAGCTATTTACCTTAATTATTATATATCAGCTTTTTTTAAAGTGCCCCTTAGGTAAATGTGTATTTTCTCCTCTATGCATACTTTTCGAATAGGATCTTTTATGACATGTATGAAGTAGCAGAGAGTTGTTTTTACTCACCATTTGTTTCACTTTTTTTTACACACCTTCATGAATTTTCTAAATTTTTTTCTCATAATTTTAGGTTTTAAAAAGAGAAGGTGAAATCTGAACATGCTCTTGTCTTTGTTTCCTTTGTATCTGTCTATAGGATGAATATAAACCAGAAAAGGCCCTGTCTGAAGAGGATTTGAAAAACGCCGTGAGTGTGCACCACGCACTGGCGTCCAAAGCCACAGACTACGAGAAGAAACCAAATGTGCTTAAACTGAAAACCGCCGACTGGAGGGTCTTGCTCTTTCAGGCCCAGTATGTTTCATTGGTTTGGTTTCCTCTTGTTTTTTTAGTTTGCATCGCACCACTTTATACGGAGAAAGAGAATCAGGATCTGCAGGGGAGATTTTCTGTGTTGGAGCCAAGGTTGTTTGCTGGTTGCATTAGAGAGACAGCTGCCTAAGAAAACTAGAATGGGAAATAGAAACCCTGGGTTCAAGTTTTGGGTTTGCTTCAAATTAGCCCTGTGACTTTTAGCCAGCCACTTACCATCTCTAGAACGTAATATCCTCATGTATAAAATCCAAGGGGTTTAGTATACAAGTTCTGTCACACCGTGAGTAAAATAGACTTGGATTTGAATTGCCATTTCCTAGCTCTTTGTCCTAGTATGTAAGTGAACCTCTGGAAACCTCAGCTTGTCGCTAGTGTGGATAATAACGTTTATCTCATAGGGTTCTTGTGAGAATTAAACAAGTTCATGTATAGGAAGTACCGCACGCAGTGCCTGGCACATAGAAACACTGTTTGATAAGCGTAGATTCCCATTCCTCCTCTCTCCTCTCCCTTTCGAAGCTCTAATATCTATGCGGAAACTAGAAGGCAAAGACAAAACCATATTGTGGGCAAGGAAATGGGATGGATTACCAGCTTAATAAGGGTCCCATGACAGCCTTCAGATCAGAAGTGGAACATTCCACATGGAGAATTCTGGATTTGGTTTAGCGAGAAATTGGATTTTCAGAACCGAGTCTCGAGAACAGGAGTTTTAATAGGAGCACATGTAGCCTGGCTGTTCTGGGCAGACAGTGTTGTTATTCATGGAATGTCTTTAACAGCCTGGCCTTAACTTCAGAATCGCCCTCCATACAACACTTCCAATTGACCGCATTTGGCACTGGGGCTAAAATTTGATGTCAAGATAGTGATCACAGGTGTCTGCCTGCTTGTTAAGCAAAGCAGTGAAGGACCAAAAAAAGGTGTAAGAACAAGAGCAGGCACTGTGGTGATTTCTGGGTGTTGAACTTATGAGGGGATAAAATTGCTGACATCAGGTGAGGAGGAAGTTGTAAGGAAATCCAAGTTACACAGGGCTTTTTTTGTGTGGGAGCAAGACAGTTTTAACACCACAGAGGGAACCATAGCCAGATGTATAATTACAGCTATTAGTCATAAAAGTCCTTCAAATTTTTCTGTTCCCCAACTTTATTTTTTTTAACCTAAAATACCAGATATAGCTATGGAGATTTAATTATTTCAGATAGAATTATGCAGAGATCAGTCAATTGAAATAACAGAACCAGGGAAATCAGATTAGAGAGGCATATGGAGTGCGATGAGGAGATGATACTAGCGTGGTCTCAGCTTCATGTGGTTTCTCTCAGAGTAATCGCTAAAGGAAATGATTTTACATTGGCTGACAGTTTGCCCATCTTCTGTTTATTGATTATGTACGTGGTGGATAATCTATCCTGGTTCACGGCTATTTCTACCACTCATTTGTGAGTTCACAAATATTTATTAAGTGCTGTGAATGCTGGACTCTGTGAATATGTGACATCTAAATTAAAAGTTTGATAATGGCATCAAATGATCTCCACATCCTCTCAGGCGGATTTTTTAGCACCCTATGGAGGTACACTTTACATACACCGTTTAATTTCACCTGCTTTGAGTGTGCAATTCAGTGATTTTTAACAAATTTACAGAACTGTGCAACCATTATCACAATTCAATTTTGGAACACTTCCTTTACCCCAAAAAAGATCCCTCAGGCACATTTTGCAGTCACTTGCCATTTTCACCCCCAACCCGACACCACTAATCTCCTTTCTGTCTCTATAGTGATGCCTTTTGTGGACTTTTCATACAAATGAAGCCATACAGTATGTGGTCTTTTGTGTCTGACTTCTTTCACTTAGCGTGAAGTTTTTGGAGTTCGTCCATATTGGAATATGTGTCAGTACATCACACTATTGCTGAGTAGTATTCACCTGTATGGAAATATACCACATTTTGTTTCTTCATTCACTAGTTCATGGACATTTGGATTATTTTCCCTTATTGACTCTTATAAAGAAAACAACTGGGAACATGCACATACAAACCTTTTTGTGCCTGTATGCTTTTATTTCTCTTGGGTACATACCGAGGAGTAGAATGACTGGGTTGTAGGACAAATTTATAGTTAACTTTTTAAGAAACTGTCAGAACTGCTTTCCAAAGTGGGTATACCCTTTTACATTACATGCTGTCTATCAACGTATCCCTCATTTGGATTTTAAAGTCAAATTATGTGATTGGAAGAGATGGGTTAATTTTTTAATTAATTTTTTACCTAGCCTAGTATCAAACAGAAAGTAGGGGGTTAATAAATATTAATTTTCAAGTGATTTTGCTTTTTTTCCCCCCTTCTCCCTCCTTGAGGGATAATCACAGCCTTACACCGTGATGATCATAGGTTTCAGGGCCTTCTATTACCATGGTGATTGCTGTTGAAAATGTTATATCTCCAATGAAGTTTTATCGGGTTAATTGTACCAAGAAGAATACATGGTTTTACGTGCCATCTTTGATCAGTAATGAGAAGTGGGCAAGGTGTTGATGCACTTAGAAATACCCTGACCTAAATAATTCTGTTTCTCACAGGAGTCCAGAGGAAATGCAAGGATGGATAAACAAAATTAACTGTGTTGCAGCTGTATTTTCTGCACCACCTTTTCCAGCAGCCATCGGGTCTCAGAAGAAGTTTAGTCGCCCACTTCTGCCTGCCACTACAACAAAGTTGTCTCAGGTAAGCCATGTTGGTAGTGCTTTGAACTTGGAGAAGAGCACTTTATAAAATAATCTTATCAAAGCTGCCTGCAGCACCTCGTTACCATAGACTAGTTAGGGATTTGGGGAGCTACTTTGATGTCCTTGTGAATTTCTTGTTGGTACAATAATAGAAACAGTTTCATCTGGCACTTGATATTAACTGGCTCCTCTGCACATCCGATATCATGATAATCAATGACACATTTATGTAAGAAATATGTATTATGTGCCTGTTGTACTTCAGAGACAGTTTTAGGCTTTCGAGATAGAAAGGCAAATGAAACCCAGATGCTCTCTGAGATTGGATTGGCATATACAAAAAAGCAAGTAAGTGTAATAGAGCATCATTAGAGATACAGGAAGGATAAGTCCAGAGTGCTATGGGGGTATGAGAAAGGGACATCTTACCTGACCTTGGAGGTGAAGGAGGAAGTGTGATATGAAGCTTAAAGGATGAACAGAAATTAGGTGTGGTATGAGAAGAGAGAATGATCCAGCAGAGGACCAAAAAGGCCCTGAGAAGAAAGTACTGGGCTGCAGCAACCACACATAAATTACCAAATGTGACTTGTGCACCAAGTGTTAATAAGAGGCAAGAAACAGTCCTCTGGAGGTAAGCAAAGGCCAAATGATGAAAGGTCTTGTTTGTCACATGTAGGATTTTGGATGTTTCACTTGTTCCCCAGCATCCTTAAGATAATAATTTAAGCAAAAAATAGCGTGATCCAATTTGTGCTTTAAAAATTTCTTGTTATAATGCAAAGACAATATTACAGGAGGAAAGTACTAGAAGCAAAAAGGCTGATTTTAAAGGCACTTTCAATAAACAGGAAAAATAAGTTAGCTGTGGAAGCGATGGATAGAAGTGGAAGCACTTGCGAGATCTTGAGGGTATAGGGCAGGCCATCCCAGTGGCTCGTTGAAGGAGGAACAGGGCTGTCGTTCAGGCTTGGGCGCTGGGGCTACGGTGTCTGACCTGAGCTTTGGGTCCTCATTGTCTCCTGGTTTCCCTCCCTGGGTCCTCTTCCTCTTTCTAACTCCAAACGTTGCAGTGCCCGGTGCTCAGAAACAGACCAAAATGGACACTTGACAATGTTTTTTAAGTTAGTTGAGAAAAAATAGGGAAAATGTTGTGCCAAGAGAAGGGGGGAAAGGTCAGGTAAAATTAGTACAAAAACTATGTCCTGTGAGGTGTCAGGGAGGTCACTGTGTCCATTGGTGACAGCAGTTTTGGGAGTGATGGGAGGAGAAGCCACATTGGTCTGCTTTTGAGAGGAAATAGGAGATAGTAAGGAAGCGAAATCTGTGTAAATCTTGCCATAAGTTTATAAAAAAGAAAAAAACAGACAAGTAGGAAGAAGGGAGGAAACACGATTTCAGGAAAGAGTCTTTTGTTTTTGTGAACTTCTTATTTCCATGAATTGGATGTTCACCATGTAGACCATTACTATTATTATGTGTTATGTTGTAGGAAAAGTCATGACTTATTTTTTCTGTTTTTTGTTGCAAAAATGCGTCATGACTTTTCTGACAACCCAGTAGTTCATAGACTACTGAGAAAACTGTTAAGAATAGAAAGGACCAAGCCAGCTCACTTTACAAGGCACCATGGCATTTAATTTTCAAGGATAATAAATATTCTAAGAAAAAAGGAAGGCATTACCTCTTATTGATGACCAGAAAGCATGTTGGCAGACTTCTCCACCTACTCAACTACAATATGCACTCTTAAAGCAAGTGCAGTTCCCCACTTTAATTTTGGCTACTTAACATAAACAGAAACCACCTTACATAAGGCAGGAGGGAAAACAACAATTGAACAAGTGGAGGCAAAAAAATACCTTCAAAAGTTGGGTTTTGTTCTATTAATCTCACTAGGGGTTTTCCAATTGCTATTTTTCACTCAGTTAGTCTTTCTCACAATCGCGCATATAAAAGATTCAGAAGAAAAGGTGAGCTGAAATTAAGGAGGAACATTAATAAGCACAGAACAGCATAAGACTTTGTCCTTGTTCTCTCCTCACTATAAAATCTATATTTCTATTTACTTTCTACTTTAAAAAATGTACTACTATCCTATTTACGTGTAGGCTATATATTAGTAAGTCATTTATACATGAAAATGAATGTGTTTCATCTATTTGTGTCTTTTTATCATGAGGCCAAGCAAGCAAGCAAGCACCTTTATCAAGGCAGAATCTCTTACTTAAACAAATGTCTTAAACTGGAACTAAAAATAGAATGCATAAATTTTACAATATATTTCCTCATTTTGAACATAAATCCACAGAAATGCAAAATAAGGCATATGTAATGTGATCAAAATGATGGATTTGAGAGTTTAAGTAAGAATGCCATAACTAAAAAGAAGTGTCCTCTTGTGTTACATAAGACAAGTTGACCAAGCCCTTTCAGGAATTTAATTTCTTTGCAAAAGAATATGATGATTTTCTTCCCCACAAATAAATCACCAAACCTTTGTGGGCCTCAGCATTCCATCTAGAAAATGAGATCATTCTAGAGTGTTTTTAAGGTTCTTCCTATCACTAGCTCTGGGGTGTGTGTGTGTGTGTGTGTGTGTGTGTGTGTGTGTGTGTGTGTGTGTGTGTGTGTGTGTGTGTGTGTTTTGCCCAGGTCATCATGTTTATTTACTAAAAATGAAATACATGTCTTACCTTGAGAGTAAAAGGACAATGTAGAAACAAATATGTAAAAGCAAGCATGTGATAAAGAACAGGTTAGAAAGAGGGAGAGAAGAGTTAGTTTGCACATAGCCTGATGCGGTGTTTGGGGTACCCTCCACTTCAAATAGAGACTCTTGGAGGACGTCTGCTGGAGTCATGGTTCACCTTCAGTGACTCCTGGAGTGTGTCTGAATGTGCCCTCGTGTTCTCCAGTACCTTGAAGACTGGTCCTCATCCTGTTGCCCAAGCACTACTGACATTTCGGCCTGGATAGTTCTTTGTTGTGGGGGGCTGTCCTGTAAAATGTAGGGTGTTTGGCAATATCCCCAACCTCTACTCACTAGATGCCAATATTATACCCTCAGTTGTGACATCCAGAAATGTCTTCAGACATTGCCAAATGTCCTGTGGTGTCAGAATCCACCCCCTGTTGCTGAGAACCAGTGCTGTGGCCCAGCCATCTTTCCTTTCTCCGTACGCCCACAGCCTGGCTATGACTCCCCTAAATGCCAGAACCACTTGGATAATTTCAATTTACAAAATACATGTATAACATTGTGAGTGCCCCTGCTGGAAAAAATAAATTAAACAGTGTTAGGAAAAATCTAAACATTCAATTAAAAGATTGTTTGGTGCTTTTAAAGACACACTGTTCATCACCCTGTCGTTTGCAAGCTTTCCTTCAATTTATTCTTGTCTTCTCTCCAAAACATATTAGCCTTCATTATTAAAATTGATTATTGTCAGCGCAGTGTGGTTCTTTCTGAACAACTCTGCTGTGTAGGAGGAGTCACCTTCTTCACTTGTTTTTCACGGCAGTGTTGCCAGAGCACATTTTTCTTCTTCTGTTGGGGGTAGAAGCCTAGTTTGAAAATTGAAGTTTTGTTTCTCCTTCTGGTATAGCACTCCAGACTTAAGATTTCCTGGTTGGCCCTCTCCAGGATCTATTCAGGACCTTTTCTATTCATCAGAGTAGTCATTTTGAAACTTCAGTGCGCACAGGAATTATCTAGGGGTTTATTTAAAATTCACATTTCCCAACCTGCTGGGCTTGATCAGGTCTGCACCAGGGGCCTGGGAATATGTGCATTTGTAAGACCCACAGGCAGTGCAGGTCATACTTAGAAACTCTGCACTGTTGCAATCCCCACTGCCCTCTCACTGCTTCTTAAGAGACCTGTACCTCATGAACCTACCCTTTGCTGATACCTAGTCCTGTTTTCTTCTTTGAAATCGAGCCATTCTCATAAAAGTTTGAATCAATGGACTTTTTGAGATATTTCTTCATTTTGAACATAAATCCACAGAAATGCAAAATAATGCATATGTAGTGTGATCAAAATTATGGATTTGAGATTTTAGAAAACCATAACCAGAAAGAAGTGTCCTCTTGTATTATATAAAACAAGATGACCAAGCCCTTTTCAGAATTTAATTTCTTTGTAAAAGAATATGATGATTTTCTTCCCCCCAAATAAATCATCAAACTTTTGTGGGCCTCACTCAGTTTTCCATCTGGAAAATGAGATCATTCTAGAATGAACTGCTAACTGTTGAAGGCCAGGCCTAGTGAGGAACACTGGTCCGAGACAAAAGAAAGTCCTGTGCTTGCCTCTCCCCCCTCATTTTATCCTGTGCTTTCACCTCAGAACAGTAGAGCTGAGGACCAGGTGAGGGAGGCGGTGCTGGTTCTCAAACTGGCCACAGATGGAAGAAAGAGGCAGGCCACTCCAGATTTGTAGGTGGTGGTTTTAATAAGCAAGGGAACTTACAAGGCTTGTCTCGGGCACCGCAAGAGGAATAGATCTCTGCACCTGCCCGCCAGAATCTTAAAAGTTTATATAGAGGCCTTAACTGGGTTCAGTCATGTATAATGTCCAGGTGGTCTCAACAACACCTTACTCTCATGGCTGTGTCCTTGGGGCAGCTTCTCACCAAGGACAGGCAAGTGAAACGCACATTCCAAGGACGGGAGGAAGTGAGGAGCCTCCAATCACCCTGGTCCAGCTCGAGGGCCACCCAGGGGTCATATCCTCTGGATAACCTCCTCCAGCAGAAAGGCGTTCAGAGGGATTTCAGAGGAGGAAGGCAGTCATGTAGCCATGTCCTTCACTAGCCAGAAACACGCCCTTGCCACCCCACTCAATTTCATGCTTTAGTCACAAATCTGTCACTTCTACTTCTTAAATACCTTTCATATCCTACCCACATCCCTGAGTTCAGACTTTTGTCATTTTTTTATCTAGATTTCTGGTCTCTAACTTTTTTGATCATTCACCTTGTCAATACTAAA